TAGAGACAAGAATGAGCAAAACTTCTGGAAGTAGAGATTGTTGTGTGAGTGGAACAGTAACAAGACAGCATGGCCTGAGCCAAGGGAACAGTGGGAATGAGGTCAGGTAGGTAACCACCAGCCAGTTCATGCTTGGCCTTCCAGGTCATGAAAAGACTTGGAGTTTTATTCTTTGTGAAATGGGAAATCACTGGATAGTGTTGAACAAAGAAGCCAATGGATGGACGTGCACTTTCTAAGGTGGTTTGCAGCCTTTAGACCTCCTCGGCTGTGGTTAGCGGTCTATGCTTGGGGGTGACTTTTCTTGCTATTTCTTGTTGCCATTCTGACTTTCAGTTTTAACTTATAATAGCTAAAGAAAAGGAGAATGAATAAATGATGGTGGTGGACCTGCCATGAGGAATCAGAGGAAGAACACAGTGCTTGGAGTTTACAGAGTTTAAGGCTTCTTGCTTAGGATGGTGGCACATGCTTGTAATCCTAGCTCTTGGGAGGCTGAGTCAGGAGGGTCGGTCTAGCTACGCTACATAGTGAGTTTGAGGGTTAGTCTGGGTTATCCAGGGAGACCTGAGTCTCAAGTAACAGATTCTAGGTTTCTTTAGGGAAGTGGCTGAGTAAATGGAGGCCATATGCCTAATACCTACATGATCTCAAAGCCACTACTGCAGCCTGACAGGAGGAGCCTACAGTTCAGTTAGTTGTGGTACTCATGATTTCTGGGGGTCTGTATGAAGCAGGATAGGGATAGCTCAAGTGATTTGTATCTCCATAGGTACAGCCACTGGGGGTTAGGACTCAAATTCCATACCTTAAATGAGATGCAACTATGGTAAGAAAAGTCATCTTTTTTACTTTTTCTTTTCTTTTTTTTTTGGTCAGTCATGGGGCCTGAACTCTGGGCCTGGGCGCTGTCCCTCAGCTCTTCAGCTCAAGGCCAGTGCCCTACCACTTGAGCCACAGCGCCACTTCTGGCTTTTTTCTGCTTATGTGGTGCTGAGGAATCGAACCCGGGGCCTCATGTGTGAGAGGCAAGCGCTCTACCACTGAGCCAACTTCCCAGCCCCCTTTTTTACTTTTTCTAAAAAAAAGAATGAACATGTTCTTAATTTATTTAATCTCATGTAAAACTACAATTTTCTCAAACCATTAAATGAGAATGGTGAATGGATTTACTTAATAAAAAGTGTGCCCATGCTGGCTCGGCCTGTGATCCTCATTGCTGGGGATAACAGGAATGAGCCCCCTTTCCGAGGCCTTGGTTGAGATGGAGTCTTATGACCAACTTTTGCTTGGTCAGCCTTGAACTGCAGTCCCCTAATCTCTAGGATTACAGACTTGATCCATCATGTACACCTAAGACATTTTGAACACAATAGTAGTATAATGGACTCATTTCTTGTCTCAGT